CATCAGTGCACAGGCAGAAAAGGATCTTGGAGTCATTACTGATGCCAAAATGAACATGGGCCGGCAGTGTCCGGGGGCATGGTCAGGAAGGCCAACTGCACCTTGTCATGTATCCACAGCTGCATCTCAAGCAGGTCCAAGGAGGTGATCCTCCCCCCGTGTGTGACACTGGTCAGGCCGCAGCTGGAGTATTGTGTCCAGTTCTGGGCGCCGCACTTCAGGAGGGATATGGACAGCATGGAGAGGGTCCAGAGGAGGCCACTTGCATGATCAGGGGGCAGCGGGGCAGGCCCTACGAGGAGAGGCTACAGGACCTGAACCTGTTCAGCCTTCACAAGAGAAGGCTGAGAGGGGATCTGGTGGCTGTTTATAAACCGGCCAGGGGGGGACAAGCATGCAATGGGAGAGTCCCTGTTCCCCCGAGCACTACCGGGAGTAACAAGAAATAAACAGACATAAGCTGATGGAGAGTAGATTCAGGCTAGACATCAGCAGGCGCAACTTCATGGTCAGGGCGGCTAGGATCTGGAACCAACTTCCAAGAGAAGTGGTGCTTGCTCCTACCCTGGGGGTCTTTAAGAGGAGGCTAGATAGACACCATGTTGGGGTTGTTTGACCCCAGCATCCTTTCCTGCCCATGGCAGGGGGTCGGACTTGATGATCTGCTCAGGTCCCTTCCGGCCCAACAACTATGAAACTATGACAGAAAAAACACCTCTGCTATCTCTGCTGTCGCCCTGCCCAGAAGCTGCTGCTTGGTTTCCAATACTTTCAGTCTCGGGGAATACAAGAAACCTCCTGCCTTTGCTGTACAAGGCCTACATGGTCAGACAGGCGTTTCTCTACACACTTTCGACGCTCGCCTGCTCCCGAGGCCTGCCTAGACAGAAGCATCTTACTTCTGCATTTCTCTTTTCTCTAGCTGATACCAACTTCCTCCCCAACAGCAGCAGCTCCACCAAGACCGCACAGAAACGACGTTGGGTTTTTTTTGTTTCACTAGCTAGATGTCTATTTGTAGATAAAAGGCTGAGTGAAGTCAGCCCTCCAGCAGCAACGAGTCAGAGCAGAATTAATTCAGAATCAGCGCGGCCGGGAGTCAAACGGCCTCGCTGTGATTTCGGCAGCGTGAACTTTAATTTTTATGGACGTTCCTGCCCATCTCTGGCTGCCACCTCTGCTGCGATCGCAGCCTTGGAGACGAACGGCACTGCGTGCCCGCCGCAACGGGGATGGCCTTGCCACAAACCGGCGCCTCGAACCGGCCTTGCCATGAACCGGCGCGGACGAGCCTCGAGGACGCGGACCAGCCTCGGACAGATCCGCTTTTGCAGCATGTCTCATCGGATGGAGAACGGCGTCGGGCGCTAATCCCAACCCCCACACCCCTCCCCCACTAGTGGTGCGACCCCAACCCCTCCCCCCGCCTCACTCCTGCCCCCCCCCCCCCCCCCCCCGC